AACTCTTGTCCAATTTTAGACTTTTATCAAAAGTCAACTATGCCCCCTTTAGGCTAATTGTTTGTAAACATATTTAACAACTCAATTTTCTTTATTCCTTGTTGTTTCTAACTCACTACCATTTGTACTTACATAGTACAACTTAATTTCAACATACATCAAATGATTTTCATTTTAAACTAGCTGTTTGACTTTGACAGAAAAGTCAAAGCTGTCAAAATTTTCCATTATCCATTAACATACTTTGAACTCTTTCACGACTCTCATTTTACACGAGGTATGTGATCATTAAGTCCCTCACTCACTCGAATCTTTATCATATTTCACAAAACCCTTTCATGGTTTCACCAAGTTTGGGTATGTATCATGTGTTTATAATAGTACGAGCCATATGCTATTATAACCACATCATACATAATTGAGCTTGACTTCACCACTTAGGAGGTTTTGAACCATTGGTTTAGATCGTCCATACACTAGTCTTACTTTCATTAATCACTTTAGAAGCACTCAATGTAGCATTCTACAAGCTAATCTAACTTATCTAAAGTCTCATATCATATAGCATGGCAATTCCTTTCTAACACTTGTTGCATAATATTCTACCTATAATATTCTACCTAACTCAAGGCATAACAATCGTATGACTCATTCACACTTTCCATAACCAAAGTCTAAGCCTAAGAGTGGAATGATCCAATCCTAATTCGCTTAAACTATGACTCTGATACCAAACTGTAACATCCCAAATTTTTCAAAATTTAAAATGCTATGGTTTTAAAATCTTTTTGGTTTTTAACCCACATAGTTTTATACCATTAAATGTTTTATACCTTCGGGGACATCCGATAAAATTGGAACGATACAGAGAAGGAAAACTCTTTTCATACACATCATAAATATCATTTCATATATTATCATTTCATTTCAAAATATATCTTTCTACATTCCATTCTATATCAGAACATTTCATTATTCATAACGTAATTCATGACATTTCTTTTCACATTCCATTCCTTATTTCATTAAGGGCTAATTATGGTGTTAAGCCGTTTCCATTTTTATACTTAGGGTACCCATAAGTCTAGACCAAGGTGGAAAGAACAAATCAATCCACCAAGGCATCGTGCTAACTAGGGCATCTACTTCGCGAAGGGAGGTGCCACCCAGTAGATTCCTCTATACCTCTTACGAGGAATCATGGCCTGCGCATCTTTCATTCTTTCTTCACTTTTGAATTCTTGCCATTACTTTCGTTTCTTATCATTACTTTCCATGCTTTAATCATTTCATACTTTAGCATCACAATAATCATTTCAAAAGTAAAACATCTGTACTTCAAACATTTCAAACACATTATCAACACATTCTTTCTTTCAAAAACATTCTTTGCTCTTAAAACATTCTTTCTTTCAAAAACGCTCTTTGCTCTTAAAACATCCTTGCCTTCAAGGCACTTTTTCAAAGCACTATTTCCAAAACATTTAACACTTTCTTTTCAAAAGTTTTCATTTATCAAAAAATTGCATTTCATTATCATAAAATCATTTTGCCATGTACCCCAAAGTGGGAAAAATGCCAACACGTACTCACCTCAATCACACGTAGGCTAGCTAGTCTTCTTCTAGTTCATTTCCTTAGAGCAACACTCTCAAAAAACACCTATATAACATGTACATAAGTCATTAACTTGAGCAAAATACCCCTGATATGTTCCCTTACCAAAATTTATTGTTTCATCTCATTCCTTATGTAAACATATGAACGTAGGCGAAAACCGCGTGTAAATCCGAGTCCGTATGCAAAAGTTACCCAAAAACTACATGGCATTGATCAGGGCATTCCACGCCTGTGGAATGATTGGACTTGCCATTCCACGGTCGTGGAATGAGGCCTGCACACACAAAAATCTTGATTTTTCTCAATATAGAACCCTACTTTGCATAGTTCTTGAAGACCATTTTCCCATTCACTTTGTATCATTTGTTTAGGTTCTCACACATGATTAGGAGGTGTTTTATCATCTTAAAACACTCCACTTAATCCTTTAAGTGCTCATTGAACTCATTAAGAACATGATGATCTTCAAGTGTTTAAAATAAAGGTAAACTTTTCCATTGATCAATTGGTCATTCTAAAACTTACAAAGCTTCTTCCCAACTTATTAAACACTCAAATTAATATTTTTCAAGTACATAAAACCTTCATTAATCTAATTGTAAGTACATAATCTAACCATCGAATCCTCAATTCTATTCCATGTTTCTTAAAATGCCCTTTAGGCCAAAACAATCACTAGAACCACTTATAGATCAAGAGATACTTCATGTTTATGTTCTAATCCCATCTTTAAAGTGTCAATTCATATCGATGAATATCATTCATCTCTTAGATGTCAATCGACATGTAGTTATCCCTAAATTTCATAAAATGCCCTTATGGCCAAGTACTCCATAAATTCAACAAGATGTCATTCAAGTCTTCATGTTTTTGCATTTAAATCATGTTATTAGTATCAACTCATATTCATGAGTATCATATACTCATCAAATGCTCATAAACAAATGATTCCATTGTTTTTATCACATCTCACTCAATTCCATTCCAATTCTAGCATAAACATGATTCTACCGTCATTGATGATTTTGAGCATTCTAATTGGATTTGTTGCTATCAAATATCATCTAGGTCATAAAATCCATTCTAATATAACATATAAACTAAAAATCTCCAATTTAGATTTCTAGGGTTCATGAGGGTTTTCACCCAAGTATTTAAATTCATCAATAAGATGATTGGATTGAGATTGGGGTCATCAAAACAACTTAAGGGAGGTTAGAAAACCAAACCTTAATCCTCAAATGAGATCAAAATCGTACATAGCTCCAATACCTCAGGTCCTTTGTCTTCTTGATCACAGACACATTCACATCCCAATTCCTGGGAAGTGAATTGAGCATCTTTGTATAATCCGTCACTTATAACCCATATTCACTTACAACCCATATAATACACTTTTTATTATTTGAACATTCCTTCATTAATTAAAATATGTACTCTATATAAGTTTCTCAAATACATTGCTGCCATTATCTTATATGTATGACAATGCAACGTGATACGATATACTGGTTTCTCACTCCTATTTGACAACAAAAACATGTAAAAATCCGCAACAAAAACATGTAAAAATCCGCAACAAAAACATGTAAAAATCCGCAACAAAGCGCGAACTCAAGTACTAGTTTTCTACTAATATATAAGGTCAAGAAGTTAACAATAAAATACATTACAAAAATAAGCTTTGAAATCATTATACGACGTTAAAATCTTCGATCTCACATCAAATTTCATATTGTGCTATTTTTGATGTAAAATTGTTTTATTCTAACATTATTGATTTATTGGTTATCTCCAATGTTTTAAAACACAATTTTTGAGTTGACCCGGTGTTTCACGGGTCAACATGTACAACCCGGTTTTCAGAACGAAGTCGTTTTGATTAGTTTCTTAAGAGAAAACCATTGATCATCTCCTACTTTCTCTCAATCACATAACTTTCTTTGTTCGCACTTCCACGTTTCTTCCTAAAAATCTGCAAACAAATACAATGAAAATAAAATGAAAAAAGGATACTGTTTACTCATATTATGAAAATGTCATTTGGTGGTGAATTGTTAGCGCACAGCCGCACATGGTAAAAAGAATATCCATAAAATAAAATGAAAAAAGGATTATGATATGACTTATGAGATCTAATCGTATGTGTGGTGTTTTTATATTATATATCCCTTTTAATTTTCTATTGTTTTTGTTTCCGAACCTGCATGATTGCATGATATACATTATTGACTCTTATTCCATGATACACAATCCAAGTTTCTATTTTATCCGAGTAAAGTATTAAAAGATAATAATAATACTAAAAAATATATAAAACCAGTCATCAATTTATAAACGACACTAATATGTTCACAGGTTCAAATGATGACGGAAAAAGGAAAAAACATAACCGTTTGGTCAACCTGGATTTTGGGTCAACGGTTCAATCGGGTTTTTGCTAAACCTGGTCGGTTCAATCAAAGTCATAAATATGTAAAAACCCGCTATCTTCACTGGGTTGTGGTTCAACCGGGTAGATTGATCAAGTTTTAAAACATTGGTTATATCAAATATAACACAAAATATAATGTTATAATATTTATTAACCTCAAGTTTAATGTTAAAGTTTCATTTACAAACAGGTTCGATTTCGAAATTATACATTCTTAGTTTATTATTTATTTGTACAATATTAGTATATATAAAATATTTGTTACTCGTGATGTCTTGTAACAACTTAAGTTGATGCTAATTTATTGTGTAGATTAAATCTAATTTTTATATTTTTATTGTCTAATAATATAGTTTATAAAGTTATTATAATAATTTTGTAAAAAATTAGACATTGTTTGTTGTGCTAGGTGAAAAAGTAGTTTCTTATAAAAAAAACTACTAAGTTAATTTTGTTGTCTTACTAAATAATTTAGATTATTTGTGTCAAAGATGATTTTGAAAAAAAAAAAAAAACTAAAACCAATAAAAATTATAATAGTAAAAAATATATATATAACATCACTATTTTTCATTTAGGATTTATTTAAACATATAAAACTTTAAATCTTGTAAAGAATACTTGCAAAAGTTGAGAAGTACATAAAATGATTAGTAACAAACATCGAAATATATTACACCACCCAAAGTTAGAAGTTTATAGTTACACAACATGTAGAAATTACATATGCTAAAGTTTTTAAACCAACAACTAGACCAAAAAAGTCACAGTTGAGGACTTATTTCAACAACATTTAAGTAAAGATGAAACAAACACATCGATCTCTTAGTGTTTGTTCATTTTTTTAACATGCATTTAGGTTATGAAAATCTCATAACAACTCTCAAAACATTGCACATCATACAATGCAACGAGAGAAAGGTTAGAGACAACCTTAACACAATAAGCCAAGGATGAGTTGCCAAAGACAACCAGATAAATTTTTTAAATATTTATCTGGTTGTAAAGATATGAGGTCCCGATATGCTGATATACATACAATACATCAGGACCTCATCTCTGACATTAGATTGTAAAATTGCAGCGACCACCACCACCAGCCGCTGCAACCCATTTGCCATGCATGCCAAAACTATGTTCGGAAGCAGTGTTCCCGGACATCATTTCTGAAAAAGAGACTACCGAAAGGTTTCCAATTGGGAGACTTTTAAGGTCTCCCATTGAAAACATGTTATTTGGTTCACGATGAGAGATGGAGTTGTTATGATCAGACATGAAAATGGCATAATTAGGAGACTTTAAAAGGTTTTTGTCTTTTTCTTGATCTGTATTTTCATCTTTGCAGTTGTTTTCCTTTTTGGTGTTCAAGAAACGACCTCCGTTCCCTCTTGGTCGACGCATTGCATGGAGATGACGCGAGTGGTGCATATATGGCTACACATAAAAAACGATTAAAAAATCAATAATTTTTTTAGCTTTCATGGTGAATATTGAATAATACTAATACTATAAGCCACTAAATTTATAATAAAAGTTTAAGGTGAGTGACTAAGCTAGAAAAACGTACTAAAGTGGATTAAATTACCTATAAGTTTTGACTAAATCGGAACTATACATACATGGGTTTGTATTACAATGCTAAAAACTTAATATCGTTGCATAAAACTGAAGATGCATAAAAGACGAGATTTTTGAATTTAATAACGTTAATAAATTGATAATGTATTTTTTTCATTTTTTCCATTACTAATATTACTTTATAAATAATGTTTTATAGAACTCTTAAATATATATTAATGATAATGATTATAAAGTAACTAATAATGTTTTTTATAAAAAATATCGGATTAAATTTGGACCTAGACCGGGCTTCTTTTACATTAGTTCTATACCTTAAAACAATTTATCTATGCATGTGATTTATAAAGGTATAATATGCACCTCACCTATACCTTATAAATAATTACATATTTTTGTAAACTAACTTTTATGATTTGGAAATATCTTAGGTCTTAAATTTGGTAAAAAAATGATCCATCAACTAATTATATTGGAAAAGAGTAAATTACAAATTTGGTCCCTATTTTTTCATACAAAATTGCTATGAATTTTAAAATTGTGTCAATATTGTCTTTACGTTTGCACTTATTTATCGATATGGCCTACGACAAAATTACAAATTTGGTCCCTATTATTTTATTCAAAATTGCTATGAATTTTAAAATTGTGTCAATATTGTGTTTAAGTTTATAATTCGATTTTGAGTTAATCATAAAGACTGCATGTGCAATGAAATGCAATAACGAAACAATTTTAAAATTTGGACTGAACTTATAATTTTGATTAGAGCATAACGACAAAATTTGTAATTTATTCTTGATTATGTCAATATTTTTATGTAAATATTTATAAAAAAAAATCAACATACCTTACGATTTTTCAAAACTTTATTTGCCATTTCTGCCTTAGCACGTGATCTTCTACGTCTTATTATTCCATGATATTGCTTTGCATTCACAAAAACCGGTTCATCATCATTGCTCAAGTTTAAAGGCAACATTATCCGACCCTGAATAATTATCGAAAAGATAATACTTGAAAGGTTATTTCAATATGTCAATATAAATAAAAAAATTATGAATCGGATTCCTAAGTAAGCACATTCATCCAAATAGAATAAACATAAAAGTGATTTGTTCTTTTAACCCATGATATTTAATAAAATTTTGATGTACTGTATTACCTAAAAACGTTGTTTTCTTTTGTGGTTAAATGCAAGAAATAAAAATGTAATTTTATTGATTAGTTCAATTTAGCATCTTATTTTATTTTTTCTTTGTATTGAAATATTGTATTTTGAAATCCTTCCTAAATATAGTAATATCATCCAAGACACAATTGGATAATTTTTTTAACATATAATCTCTAATAAAAAATTGAAAGTATAATTTATAATTTGATAGAATTTTCAAAATACACATCTTATTAAAAAAATTTAATTAAAAGTACAATGTTGCAATAAAAGTTCTATGGCGTGCAAAGTATATTGGTGTTTCTTGTGTTTAGTCTTTTTCTTTATGCCTTATTTTATGATGTGCTATTTTGATACGAAAATAATTGTTGTTTTCCTAAATTAATATATGGAAACAAAATATATACAAATTAAACAAATTAAGAACACACCGCGATTTGATGTCCATAAGTTGACAACACTCCATAACATTGATCTCTATACTTTCCGCAAAGCTATATCACCATTTGATCACACAACACGAGAAAATATATAATAAGACAATAATAATAAAAATCAAAATTATCAAACAGAATAACATTTAAACTGCATTTATTACACTAAACACGAGACAACAAAAATTTATATTTTTTGTCTCATTAATATCGGTCTTAAACTCTTAATATCATTTCTAGTCCGTCAAACACAAACCCAGTATAAAACTCTAAGTCATGTCTTGTGTAACAAACTCATTTTTGTCTCATTAATATCAGTCTCAATATCATCATTTCCGGTCAGTACTAATTTGTCATGTCACGGCCTTATAAAACTGTCATCATTCTGTGATGTTATGTACAGTGTAACAAATTGTCGTAATTCTGTCATGTCATGTCCTGTGTAACAAAGTGATAAAATCGTACCATGTTAGGTTGACCAAATCTAAGATAGTCCGAAGGAACAGATTCCATTGAAAACGATGTCTGAATTTTCGTTGGTTTTTGGGTGTTGGATGAATTGTTGCACTCATCAGAATCCGATGCCGATTGATCAAGTTTTCCACTAACATTTCCTGTTTCAATTCAACACAATCTTAAGATGTAAACTCGAAGACACATTTTACTTTTAAGATTAAACCGATTTGTTTATAAATCCATAAAACCTTTAGGATCTAACTGAGGAACAGATCGATGAACACAAAGAACTGAAAAGCATACCAGTGAATATATTGAATTGAGTTATATCCCTTTTGTCGAACACTTGGTCTGCATCATGATCATGATCTGATCGTTTAGGTGTGAATTTTGATCCGAAAGTAGTGTCGTTGTGAATTGATGAAGGCTTCGCTTTCATGGATTCTTCAAGTGATGATCCAGTCACAAGTCCACTCCACCAAGGAACTGAACTCATCGGAATCAAACCTTCATGTTCTTTGTAATTAACAGAATCCATTGTCATAACTATAACTCAATTACCCAGATCAAATTGAATCAATTTCCAACACCATATGATTTCATTCCTGCAAACTTACGTATGAAGATCATTAGATTATCGATAAAAAGGATTCCAAACCAATACTAGCTCAATTCAGAACAGCTTAAATCTTAAAATCACAATATAACGAAAAAAGGTAAGTACAAATCGTTTGATTAACAAACATTTGTAAAGTGTACAACCCATGAAAATTAACAAAAATCCATGTCGATTTGCTAATTTAGACAGCGAAAAATGGGTTGAAGGTAAGTGAACATGAGATAGCAGAGTGAAGGGAGTGAATATTCCGAGACAATAACAAGGAGAGAGAGAGAGAGAGAGATTAAGAAGAGGGAATCGTACCAATTGAGAAGAGAGAGAGAGAGAGAGAGTGAAAGAATTCAAAATCCAATTATGAAATGGAGAAAGAGAATTCCCAATTGACAGGTGCCGTGTTGATACAGTTTGAAGATCTTGAAGAGGTATGGGAGATTGATGAAAGTGAAACAGGAAAGAGACCAATGAGTGAAAACAGGAACCAATTGGGTTGGGTGCTTCTAGTGACCAATAACATATTGCTTTTATGGATTTTTCCTATTTTGCCTTTTTCTTCTTTTGTTTATTTTGTTTATTAATATTTATAAAAAGATAAACACAAAATTTATTCTTGAAAATTTCAATAATTTTCTATTAAATGATTTATTCTTATACAATCTCATCTTAAGTATTATGCAACGATAAATGAGATATATATTTTAGACCATTAGGTAGATAAAATAAGTGCTTAACCTTTTGCAAAAATAGCTTAATTCATATTAAAGTAAAAACTTTTGGTGTTGTAAAGGAATAAACACTCAACGAATCGTTTTTAGATTGTTTGACGGAAAGTTGGGTGAAAGTTTGTTTATATAATAAAGAAACCAACTTGAAAACTATTTTTTTTGTTCGTTTAATTAAACGAACGAACACGAGCAATGCATTCGTTTATGTTGGATTATAATATTACATTAGATATATAATATTAAACAACTTGTGAGAATGAAATGAAGCTTTTTTAGAGTGCTTTAAGTTTTGCAACTTCTACATTTACTAAAAATATCAAAAGTTATAATGGATATATCATAACTATTTATATTAACTTTTAATGTATTTCATTTGAAGGTCTATGTTCATTTATGTTTGTTGCATGTTAATTATATTTATTTACGTTTATTTATGGTCGTTTATGCCATTTTATGTTTGTGATATTAGTTTGACATATTAACCAACATAAACAAACGATCATGAACATGGTTGTTTGTTACACGAATGAATATGAATGAGAAAATTTGTCCGTTTATCTATTAGTTATCATTCATTTGTGCGGTTAACTTAAATGAACCAACATAAACAACCTTTTAATCATGTATGTGTGGTTCATTTACAACCCTAAACATTTTTATAATGTAAATGTTAACAATAACTTTTTCTACAAATACATTATCTTAGGAACCGATCATGGGGACAAAATTTCAACAAATCATTACCTTTTTTAATCTTTCACATATGTTGATTAATTTCTTTTATTCTATATCAAAAATATATTTCAAATATTAACTAATAGTAAGAAAAACCAATTAATGCTAGGGGTGTGCGGAAGTGTAAGAAGAGGAGTTGGATTAAAAAAATTTGTTTACAAAACGGAAATGATTTTCTAGGAATTCAAGAGAATCTAATGGTTATGACGAGTCTTTTTAAAGTAAAGACGATATGGAGAAATTTCCAGTTCGATTTTGCTTGCTACACAACTATTGATCATTTGGGTGAAATCTTGTAAGTATGGGATCAATTGTGTTTGCCAAATCTTGTATCATGTACTCAAATAAATTTGTCGTTGTTGAAGGTAAATGGATAAATAAACCTTCTAATTTTTAATGATATATATATATATATATATATATATATATATATATATATATATATATATATATATATATATATATATATATATATGCACCTTAGGATGTAGTCGAAAAAAGAAGCTTTTCGAATGGAGTGTTGTCTTTTGTTAATCAACATCATGGTCATTTTTTCTCTTGGTGACTTTAATAAAGTTCACTAAGAATACGAAAGTTTAGGGTAGATCTTTTGCCAATCATCTGCGGATACTCTTAACCAATTCATTGTTGATGTTTCATTAGTAGAAATTCAAATAGGCGGTCATGATTTATGTTGGTTAATAAAGCAAGCACTAAGATGAATAAATTAGATGGATTCATTGTGTGTGAATGTCTATGGATGAAGTCTTTGATCTTACTATCTTGGCGTTGGATAGAACGTGACCGTATTATAATTTAATTCTTTTATAAAAATCAAAAGTTTGATGGTGGTGTAACTCCTTTCTAGTTGTTCCATTCCTAGATGATTATGGATGTTTTCAAGACATTATACCCTCAACTTGGGCTGAGTTTGGAGGTGGCCATGATTCAAATAAAATGGTCAGACAAGTTGAAATTCATGAAATCCTAGGTCAAAGAATGGAATTTGAAAGTTAAAGACATGAATACATGGCTGGAAAATGATTTGTTGTAAAGTATTAGTGAAGTGGAGTAGAAAATAGATGGTGTGGTCGCTACTCGTGATGAGGTGGTTGACCGTTTAAACCATTTTAAAAATTATATAATTAGAGGATATTGAGGTTTTAAATTTTGCTCAAAAGGCTAAGACCACTTGGAAGTAGATCGTGACAAGAACTCCAAGTTCTTTCACGAAATACTGAAAGAAAAGACATTGTCAGTAGGTTATTCGAGGTGTGATGTCTATTGGTGAGTGGTGTACCAACCCAAAGTAGGTCAAATATGTTTTTTCTTAAGTTCTTGAAAGGTAAATTCTCAAATTTTAAGGGGAGTTACTGACAAGTAGAAGCTCTCAGTTCAAAGCTTTAGCCAAGACTGATATTTAGATGTTGGATGTGAGTTTCTAAGCTCAACAGAATAAAATACGTTGTATGGTAATGTAGTGGAGATAAGGACAAGGGAAAGATGGATTTTTTTAAATTTATTAAATGATAATAGCACATATTAAGAAATATGTAGTTGATTTTGTTATTGAGATCAACGATAGTCATATCGCTAATGACTACAATGCTTCTTTTATCACTTTGATTATAAAAGCAACAAACCTATCTTTGTCAAAGATTATATACCTATTTCATATTGTGGTAAATTATAAAACTTATGTTAAATTGTTAACAAACCATTTAGAAAAGGTTATTGGGTCGATTGTCAATATATAACAATCTACATTAATAAAAGGTCATCAAATCTTAGACAATTCTTTAAATGATGAATGATATTGTAGCATGGTATAAGAAAAAAAATGAATCTCATTATTTTTTAAAGTAGACTTAAAAAAAGTGCATGACTCTCTTTTCTTGAGGTACTTGGATCATATTTTTGGTTTTCTTGATTTTGGTTAGAAATAACAAGGTTAGATAAGAGCTTGCTTTTCATCGTCTCGTGCTTCACTTTTGGTTAAGGGAAGCGTCATTACCGCGTTCTATTTACATCATGATCTTAGATAGGGTGATCATTTGTCATTCTTTTTACTCATTTTGGTTATGGACGGGTTGCACGTTGCCATAAAATATGAAGTTTTGAGTGGTATGATTCGAGGTGCTACAACCGACCATCATGATTTTGGTGTATCATGTTTTTTTATACAAATGACATTTTTTGGCTGTTTGTTCTCAACATAATGTTGAGATTCTTATTTAAGTTTTACAGTGCTTTTTCTTGGCTTTAAGGTTGAAACTCAATATACATATATCCAACCTTTATGAAATATGTGTATATATGTACGATGTTCATTTTTTGGCTATAGGTTCAAGTTCTCTCCTAGGAAACTTCCATTCACATACTTGGATCTTCCAAGTGGTACGAATATACCGATAATCGATGGTTAGAGTTGTATTATGGACCGATTCCAAAAGAAGTTGTCTATTAGAAGATAAAATGCTTCCATTAGGGCTGAGTCACTATTTTAAAATCCGTTTCGGGGAGCCTTGGTATATTTTATATGTAAGAATTTAAAGTCGTAGAGAAGTATTTTATAATTCTTTAATCTGTACCATCTTGATTTTTTATGAGGGGGGACAGTGAGGAAAAATATCTTTGATAAAAGCGGGATTTCGTGTTGGATGATATATAGATAAAGGGGGCTTAGGGATTGATAGCTTGGTGACTTTCAAGGGAAGAGTTTCTGGTAATAAATTATGGGTTCGACTTATAAAGGCAATTCATAGGGAGAGTGTTGGTTTAAAGCAGGAGGAAGGGGTTGGGGGTCTAAAGGGAAATGTTTTCGGTAAAAAATTATGGGTTTCATATATCAATTTCATAGAAAAAAAATATTATTTCCCACTTTTTTGATGAAAAGAGTTGGGAATGGCTCGAATACTATTTTTATGGCATGATACTTGGATTGGGAACATGAAGTTTAAATATAAGTTTCATAGGTTCTTTTTCTTGAATATTGAAAAAAATTGTTTATTAACTGGCTAGTTTATTGATGGAAATTAGGAGTTGCAATGGAGAAGAAGTATAAGGGGTGGGCCCAAAGAAGCCCAACTTACGATTTTTCTTACCTTGTGCACCAATTCGTCTATTTTATAAACTTATATAGGTGATGGTGGTCTTTAGATGCATGTGATGAGTTTTCGGTGAGTATTATGAGGAAACATATTGATGATATTACTTTTATTGGTGACAATTTTGGCACTAGATGGAATAGATTGGTTCCAAAAGGAGTTCAACATATTTGTTAGGAGATCCTCTTTATAACATATCCCTATTAGATTTAATTTGTTTAAAAGAGGTTGGAGCTTGAATCTATCTGATGTCTTGTTTATGGTATTGGTGTGGAAACCACGAGGCATGCGTTATTTACGTGTTCGGTTGCGGTGGATAGTTGGTCTTGATGAGTTATGAGGATCATTAGACAAAAATAATAGGGACAACAGAAGCAAAATTTTTCGATCCTAACTAAGCCCAAAAACCGGATCTATGAACAACCTTTCAATTGCAACTTGGTTATATATGAATACATACCTTTTAGGGTTCTTAGAATCCCTTGTAGATCTTTAATTGTTTGATGAGAGCTAATAGTCCAACGTAGAACTCCTCTTTCATAGTCGCTCCCAAGACACTTAGATCAACAACATTCGACAACAACCCATGCAACAAACACCATGAACAAAGCTCTAAAAAATAAATCTACCAGAACAGCAGGTACCACATCATGGCAATGAAACCACGACGATGTGGCGTTGTGATTTTGAGGGTTTTGGGAATAAAGAGGTAGGACCAAATTTTCTCTAGGGTTTTGAGTAAAACTCATCTCCTAATTTCTTCCATATGCCTCTCTATTTATAGGGAAGAATAGAAAACCATAAAAGATAATTATCTAGTAAACTAATAATTATGATAATTATCCATATAAATGGTAATTATCTGGCTGCTTAAATTATCCTCTTTTATCCTCCAGAACTTCTAGATTTCATTTAATTAATTAAC